CGTTCATAACAGTGAACTACTCCGATGGGACCACGTGCCGTGGTGGCTAACCACCTCTTTATATAATTTACATAATTTTTAGGGTTAATATAATTTTTTAGTTTTTTAAATTTGTTTTTATTTTAATTTTAGTACTTCAAGTTTTGAATTATAAGTTTTGGTCTTTTAAATTTCTTTTCATTTAAAATTTTTGTTCCTATAATTGAATAAAAATTTGGATTATTTTGCCATTGAAGGACTAAAACTTATGATTTGAAATTGAAAAGATTAAAATCAAAATAAGAGTAAACTTAAGGGATGAAAGATTATATTAACCCTAATTTTTATGTATTAAGTGCTTATGATCCACTTATGCCTTTTGGCTGGTCACCTGTTCATTTCAATATTATACATATTATTCCCATATTTACATTTTCTATAATTAGTTAGATCCATATATATATAAATATATATATGTTTATACACCATACCCCTCCCACTAACTTGCAATAATATTTAAATGCAAACTTATGTGTTTGAATATAAGACTAATTGAATCAACAAGTATTGGTCCAAGTGGAAGGGATTTGAATATCTTAAGCATTATATCTTAGGTTTGATCATTGGGACAGTGTGTATAAAGAAAAATATTATTGAAAGGAGTCCCCACTACAGTGTCTGATAGTACTCTGAAAGATTAGTTTCTTACCATTTAGGTGGGAGGATACTTTGACAGTATCTCGAAAGATTAGTCTCTTACCATCCAGGTGAGAAGATATTTTGGGCAACAACAAAAAAAGACTAATTGATATGTATCACCGTCCAAACGAATAATTAAAAAAAAGTACGAATAAGATAAGTGGAATCAATATATATAGCACTATATAGCCAGGATCATGCCTTGATGTATGCATGTCAACCCTATCTAGCTTTCAAATTTGGTATTAATTTTTTAACAGTTTCTAATTAATAAAAAGATTACTCCAACAACTTAATGATATTTTTAGATGAAATAAATATGTTTAAAACTTTGAGAAACAAAGGGAATATTTGTTGGAACATCACTTCTAATCCTATGTTGATTAACAAGTCCCTAATTAGGTATGACTCGTACCACAAAAATTTCTATAATTAATACGACTTAGAGTTTTTTATTTTTAACTTTAAAAAGTTCAGCTAAAATTTTTTTAAAAAGATGTTAGGCCTTTGGGTATCTCAATATTTATATTATAGGTGGACCTGGAAGTGATTTTTCTTTACCACTTAAAGGAAAAAAAGTTTCTATTTTACTTGTTTATTTAAAATTAAAATTTTGGTGAAGCAGCCCTTAGATTTGAATGATGGCTTCATAATTAAGCTTGAACTTTGAAAGTGGCAGGGGAAAGCAGGGAGCCAATATTTTGGTCATAATTGTGAGCTAACTAGTCGACCACTTTAAACAATAATATCAGACAAATCAAAACAAACAATTATCTAGTTCACGAGTTTGTTGAAGTTTGTTCTGGCCCCTTTTTCAAAGGTTTAAACCTTTTAAAAAAGCAACTACGTGTAAAGATTAGGTCGCTAAAACAATAACTTAATTATATTAGAAATGAAAACTTTTGGAGCATTATGGATGTATAACAAATTGACAAACAAATTCAGTGTGGAAGCAAGTTTTGTCTGTTATGGGGACTACTAATTAGTTATAATTAATTCCTAAATTCACCAAAATAAACCCAACAATCTGAAAGACACAACCTACATATGTGAAGTGATTATGAAGAAATATGGTAGTTATTAAGAAATGCGTGATAGTTATCACAGAAAAATGTCTGAATGATTATTGCAGTACAAAATGAACATGATTCATATTTAATGTTTTTTTTCCAGAAAAAATTATTACGTACTCCCACATAAATAACATAACCATTCGAAAGTTTTGACAAGTTGTCATTTCCTATATCAAATCTTTGTCATTACCATATTGTTCACCTACTTGGTACTTAATTACTTATGTGAGACTACAATAATTTTTCCTCTTTTTTGACAGTTATATAGACATTTGATATTACCTTACCGATCAAACCAGTCTATACTTAAGTATTACCAAGTCTACAATATGAAAAATAATTCTCACGTATGATTTTTCCATCAAGAAGATTATAAGCTTTGATTTTTTTGGTGAATTGCACTTAAAGTTTTAAAACATAGACGACATTTTCAATGTTCAGCACCACTCGTTACATTTAGACAAGGTCCTAAATTTGAGCTTGACATTGACATGTTTGTTTATTACTTTGGTATATTTAAATTGTATAAAATAAAAAAAATAGAGATGATACTTCCTTCAATTATAAATGAGAAACAGTATAGGAGCCTGTTTTGATTTTAAATGTAAAGTTTTAACATACTTTTTTGTCTCACAAATTTGAATTCCCCCCCCCCCCTAAGTTTCTCTATTGATTAAGGAGGTCTTTCCATCATAAGAGTGATGTTACATGGAAATGATTAAAAAAAAAAACTTTAAAAAATCAATACACATTTTTCATAAATAACAACTAACTAAACTAATTTTTTTAATATAAATAAATTACTTAACTTCTGCCTTTTATGACCCGAGGCAATCATAAAAATGAGAAGTAACACCCACCTTTTTCTGTTGCAAGGTCTCCACATATCCAAGAATATATGAGCATCAAAACAAATCCGAGAAGCTATTGGATTATATTTATTGGTTTATATATGCAATTGGCTGGAATTATGATTTGGTGAGTGATGGGTTTGTACTTTGCTTGAGTGATAGGAATGAGGCAATGAAGAAAAGTGACTGTGAAATGATAAGGAACCACACTGAGTTAGTTGAGGCGCTTTCCATGGTTGTTGCTGTTATACAAATAACAGAACAACAAGTACAACTAAACCATCCAACCACAACATATGTATTACTTACGTTGTCATTTTAGTTTCACCTCACGATCTCTTTCTCTCTCACAATTCCCACTTCCTCCCATAACTTTAAAAACAGAAAAAAAGGTTGAATGTTACCTACTATTAGAAAGCCCAGAATAAATAATTTATTTACACACACACTCTTTCACAAAACCAAAAAGTTGAAGTTACAATTAATTAATAATTTCCATTTGAATGAAACCATGGCAAGTTACCAATTATTGAATACTTGAATGAATATTAAATTGTGATTGCTTTTTTTTTTTTTTTTATATTTAAAGTAAGCTGATGGCCGATAACGTTGCTTTCAAACAAGCAATTAATAGTGATACCAAACACGTTGTTCATAACATATTTATTTGATGGATATATATATATATATATATATATATATGCGTTATCCGTCTTGAATGGATTAGGCAGACAATAACATGTAGATATAGATATATGCTTACATGGCACGCCTTTATCATCTTTATCCACAAGCACAGCTTATATCAATCAACCAAATATTCATCAAAAGCTCAGTGTACAAAGTGTTGACCAATCCATATTATGCAGATAATTAATAATTAGTTTCTCATTTATTTTTAATTCCAACCCCTTGTGTTGAGGAATGCTCCCAAATGCTGATTTAATTTGTGCCTTAATGCACACTATAAATAATTAAAACCAAGATTTCGGTAGAAACATATCATTACTTGTTTATTTAAGTATTTAACAGCTGGCATTATTGCAGAATTAATATATATGGTTCTGTTTTTACATGAAGTTTGAAAAGCTAATCTCACTGTTAATTTTTTTTTTAAATAAAGCAAAGATCATAATCATTTTTGATGGGCCACAGGAAGATGACAGAGTCGATCCACAAAAACGAACAGAACAGGGGAACGAAAGCAGGGGCTAACAGAAGAATTTAAAATAAAGTTGGGCCTAGGCCGGTGAGTACAAGCTTAACTGGGCTTCACCAGGGCCCAACAAGCCTTGGTTAACTGAAAAGAAAAACCACCTCGTCCTTTCAAATGGATCTCATGGTCTCATCCAACTTCTATTTTTGTTGTGGGCTTATTCCTTTCTCTGTTCACCGGAGCAAAAAACTTGTATATTTATTAGTTTGTCGTTGAGTTTTTTTTTTTTTAATTTTTTCAGTTTTTTCCTATTAAAAAATAAATGCCCTAAAAACTATTATAAAGGAAATATTTTAAAAAAGTGGTGTTTCATTTTAAAATTGAAAAAATGGGGCTTTACTCTAATTAATTTTAGTTTTTATATATATAGCTATATTAAGATGCAATCAAATGATGGCCCGAGTTTAAAAAGGGGACATAATTTTGGAGTAATTCTGTAGGCTGTAGCAGAGGATTAATGTAATTACATAATATCTCAGGAGTCTCTATTAGTTACTCTGTCCAGAGGAGTGCACGAAACCCCTCAGACGTAGCTTACCTCGTTATCGTAATTATTGTTTTGTTCTTATTCCTCTTATTATTATTAATTGTTGATTTTGTCACTGTCGTCGTTCGTCGTCATCATCATCATCATCATTATTTATATGGTCAATTAGTAAGAAGCTAGTTCCCGCATTTTTATAAACTAAGCCGACATGTTAGAGAAAAAGCAGTTTCCATGTAGTTGGGATCCTCGATAATTTGTTTTTAAAAAGTGAGTTGGGTCTTAATAACGTATCAAAGTTAGATGTTTAGAATATATGTCTCATATAGCTTAAACAACATTTTTGAAGAGATACTTTCAAATTATTCCTAAGTGATACTCTTTTGTGTAGTTTGTTTGGTTTAAAAGATCCCATGATTGGTACGCACTCCTTCATTTACAAGTCAGATTTTGAATGCTATACATATATGTGACAAAATCAAAATTGATTTTTGGGAGCAAATGGAAGTACTTCAATGAAGGGGAGATTGATGATGAAGCATGCATATAAGTGAAAAGTGTTTAAATGAGGAGATAGGGTTTTGTCAGAGTCATAACGAATGGGGTCAATTCCTTACACTGCATTCAGTTATTGTTTGTCCTTTTAACTCTGTCCCTTCCTTTCTGCCTTTGTCATTTCTTCGCGTGATTCTCTCTCTCTTCCCTCCCTCCCTCCCTCCCTCTCTCTGATCTCTGTCAGTGTGTGTTTATGCGTGTGCATCCATATATATGATACCAACTTATCGCTGTTCACCAGCTGTGTCTTCTTCCATGTCTCATCAAAGCCATATTCAACCCTCTTCTTCATCTTCTTATCCTCCTGATGACCCCCATCATGATCAGTCACTGAATCGCTTGCAAACTTCTTATCACCAGGATATGATCCCAGATGTGAGCATTATATATATGTATATATATATCTCTTAGTTGTTATTGTTATTATTATTTGCTCCTCTTTGTTGATTTGCCTTATTGATCGATCACTGTCGTGTTGTGATGTTCATCAGGCAGACCAGTGGAAGAAAGAGGATAAGAATGATCAAGTTAAGGAAGGATCAAGCAAGTGGAAGCCTTCAAAGATGAGAATGATGGTTCGGGAACAAAGTAAGCAGAGGTTTGAAGATCATCATCATCATCAGAAGCCCTTATCATCATCATCATTATCCTCATCAACTGACCATAATAACATGTGCAATAGAGCTTGTTCCTCGGATCAAACGTCTCATATCGGTGTTAGGGTTTGTGCTGATTGCCAGACCACTAAGACCCCTCTCTGGAGGAGTGGACCAACAGGCCCTAAGGTACACATCTTCTTCTTCTGATCTTTCAAATTAAACATCTTCTCTTGTACTTTGTAAACGACTTCACAGGCTTTAGTATCCCTAATTCATAGACTTGGAAATACAAAGTGAATTTAACTAATTAATTACATATGCGGGATATGGGCTAAATATATATATATGCTACACTGAGCAGTCATTTTGGCTTAACAGTCACTTTGCAACGCGTGTGGAATTCGGCAAAGGAAGGCGAGGCTTGCCATGGCGGCGGCGGCTTCTGCTCCGGTGAGGGAAAACAAGGTACAGAAGAAACAGGAGAAGAAGCCGCTGTTGAAGAAGAAGAAGAAGAAGAAGCGAAAGCTTGGAGTAGTGAAGCCATGTGGAGGTAGAAAGAAGCCTGTTTTGGAGGATTTTGCTACGAGGTTGAGCAAGAGCTTGTCTGCGCAACAAGTTCTATTCCCTCAGGACGAGAAGGAAGCTGCTATTCTGCTCATGGCTTTATCTTGTGGTCTTGTTCGTGGATAAGGTTTCTCGCTATGCTGAATTATTTTCTCATCATTGTCTTTTTTTTCCTTGTTTTGTCTTATTGGTGGCATTATTACAATCATTAAGTATGTTGTTATGTGAGTGTTTGCGGTCTCTATTTTTGGGAGCTCCCAGAAGAGGATGCGGTGAAATTATATATACAGGAAGTGGAATTAGGGGGAAGAGATAAGAGAGGACAATAAAGTTGTGGTGGGTGATGCTGTGAGCAGCGTACCATACTGCCGTACTTTAACTCATGAACAAGAAAAACAGATGGTATCTATGTCTTTTTGACAACGTATTTTTTCTTTATTTTGTTGAATTCAATAAAACTGATGGTGTCTAGGCAGGCCTTTTCGATAATGTATTTTCTCTTTATTTTGATAAGTCTACTCCTCCCGTCCTTAATAGATCTAAGTATTAAGTTAATTTTGATCCTAAGTATAAGACATAATTATCATACTATCAATTTTTCTACATTATCTCTGTGAATACTCCCTCAACCATAGTCAAGTAAGTAAGGAAGGGAAGATATTAAGAAAGATGATTATAGTCTTTTAAGAAAAACATGTCATATTTCTTATGATTAACTAATTTACTTAACTTTCTTAATATAATTAAATTAGTTAAGACACATTGAATATATAAAGTCTTTTTCCAATTATATAGTACCTCCGGTCCTAATTATAAGAGCTAGTTGACTAATTTGATGAGATTAAAAAAATAAGTTAAGTTATTTATTTGTAATAAATATGTGTTGTCTTTCCTAAAATATCATTGCTAATCCAGTGTGTTGGCTAGAACTATCATTATTAGAAGGACTATCTCAGAAAAAAATGTATAAATATTAGAGACAAGATGTATTGGAGTCTTATATTTAGGATCAAAATAAAAATCAAACAAAATTTTATATTAAATACCGGAGGCAGTACATACCTATCGATGTCTTTTCTAGCATAAGGTAACTCTATTCGATGTGGAACATCTTCCTATGTCAAGCCAAGTACACTCCTACTTGATATCCCAACAATCTTTCCTTAAATAATACACTTCTCTGCTCTCAAATATCTATACTTTTCTCTTAAACAAGACATCATCCTTAAACTCTATAATCTGACCCTTATCTGTCTTAATAATTAATTAGACACCTATTTAGTTTCAAATATTGAGCCTTTCTTTATGTAGAAGAAAGAGGACCCACGTCCAACAAAGTCTTCCGAAGAAAGTGATCAATATTACTTTTTCTGATCTCCCTACGCTCCCTCTTTTCTCTTTTTTTTATTTTCCTTATTTGTCAAATTGTACTATACTTACATTTTTATTTGCGTTTATTGAAGAAAATAATATAGATCAATGAATTCTCCTCTCTCTCCCTCTCTTTTGACCTCAATGAATTCTCCTCTAAACCTTAAGCTATCTGCATATAATTATATTAATAAACTATTTGCTATTGTCTGACATGCATGTACATACACAAAACACAAGACAATACGGCTAAAATATATATTTGGCCTTTTAACTTTATATAAAGTTTTAATTTAGTCCCTTAACTTTAAAAAATTATTTTTAGTCCTTTAATCCTAAATTTTTTTTAAAAAAATGATGACATCAAGATCTTAAATATTGATAAAACATTCTCAAATGCTAACATATTAAATTTAATTTTCAAAAAATCCATGATTCTTATGAAAAAATCATCATTAAAGCCTAATGATTTTAGGGTTAAAGGATCAAATGTATGATTTTTAAAATTAAGGGATTAAATTGAAACATTGTACAAAATTAAAAAACCAAATGTATATTTTAGCCAAACAATACTCAAATGAATTTCATATTACGGTCAGATTGTGTCATTCTTCATTCAAGGTGCATGTATATGCGTATACCGTTATCATCAGTTAAAGTTGATGTGCACATGTATTTCTAATTAACAAGGGGTTACTCATTGTTATATTACTACTTCCGTTTCTAATTATAAGAACTTGTTTGTAGTCTATAAAAAACACAATCCTAGCTACAGTACTGAAATCCACTGAAGCGCAATGCATAAATCAGTGGCTGTTGCCTTGCCTGAGGCTAGGTAGGGAGAGAGAGAAGCTCAGAGATCAGAGGGGAAAGCAACAAGGGTTGTACCTTTTTAGCTTAGCTTTTCAGATGGACGTAAACGAGAGCGCTTCTGCTCAATCATGACAGTGATGATTCGCTTTGGTAAAATAATGAGATATAATACTTATCGCCAATTCGCGATCTTGTACAGCTTTTTTGTGGGACAACCCCTCTGGAGAATTTGGCAACTTGTTTCACAGCAACACACTTATTTGACGCCAAAAGCTGATTTCTACTTTGAAAGACAAAGAATAAACACACATATGTATCAACTGAACTGTGAGGATTTACATATAATCTAATACTGTGTTTGGGAAGGCGTTCAATATGTAATTTAAGATTGTACTCTGTTCAAAGGATGAAGAATAGCTGCTCGCAATGGTGTGCCTCTGGTCATGTAACTTTTTCTTTATTTTTCTCTTCTTTGCTTTTTTAATGTATATATGATACGTTATTAAAGAAGATTATTATTATTTGCAGTCAGCAATAATATATTTTTTTTCTTGATACAAAAAAGTTTAAGTGCGTTAGATGATAAAAACTCATCAGGATCAAAACATGTCTTCAGATTCAGCATCATATAGTTACTTATAGATCACCTATTAACAAAATCCTCACATCAATAATGAGATTCAAACTCACGACCTTATAGGTTATAAGTTGACTTCTCACCAAGAAGACCAATTCTTGTCAGTAATACTCTTTTGTTCCTTTGTTGTATCCTCCTCTACTTTTTCTTTTTACCTTGATAACCTCCTCTACTGAAAAACCAGTCAAAAGCCCCAATTCTGTGAGAGAGATGGAATGTAATTCAAATCTAAAATGGAAAATTTGTTTTCTTTAATTTGCTACCTTGGGTTGAGAGTGTCTTTGGAATGAAACAATGCCTCATGGCCTCATGGGGATGATTAGAAGTAGCAAGCAAATGAAAGAAGAGAGCAAGGGAGACGCATGCGAGGCAAAAAAAAGTATGGAACAAGAGAGAAAAGAATGAAAAAATATTTTTAAATTATAAAGTGTTCATTAGCTTTATTTAATTTACATTTTCACTTTGTTTTATGTTACTCCTTTCAATTGAAATCAATTTTTCCATATGTCTATACATTATGATTTTTATATATTTCTAACTCTGGTTCCAAAACAATCTTTGCCGAGCTGTAAACTAATGCTTAAACAAGTTTAATAGCTAGTACTCCACCTAATTAGCTAATTTATTAGCTAATTTGAATATATTAAAAATGTTAGTTAAATTAGCTAATATGATGTTTTGTTCTAATATATTTTTTAATTCCTTTCCTCCTCTCCTATTTAATTATTGTTGGAGAATATTAATGAGTTAACTTGAAAAAAAAAATGGTAAACAGATGAAATAAATGTTATATACAAGACCAGCATCAATTTATCAATTAGGTCATAAATAACTATTTTTGTTTTCATCTTTTTTTTTTAGTTGACATATACTCAAGTAATCTTAAAATGAGGATGATGCGTCACGAATGATCAGGATAGCTCAACTGGTAGAGCAGAGAACTGAAAATCCTTGTGTCACCAAACAACTCGAGGTAGAGGGAAAAATATAGGGTACTTTATTGCTTAGCCTGGCTTTTATGGAAGCTTTAACAATTTATGGGCTGATTGTAGCATTAGCGCTTTCAATTGGCTAGAATCCATTACTTGAATAAAACTAGGGGAGTGTTTGGATAAAAACTAAACCATGGTTTCAGAAGTGCTTTTACGGATTACGAAATAAATATGTGGAGGAGATTACCTCGTTTTGCGGAAAAGTGCTTCTGAAACCACGGTTTTGGAGCACCCAAACAGAGCCTAGATCTTGTGGAATCATATTAAATATTTGACGATGTATTCCATACCTTGCTAAAAAACCGATGCTTGTTTTTTATGCAATACTTCAGTTGGTATAATGATATCACCAATATATTATATCTTTCCTTATATCTTGACTGGTTCTTTAGATCCAGATAATGTGAAGCGATGAGTTGATTATTAGTTCTATAGTTATTAATTAATTAATTAATACTACTACTACTCAGAATGGTTAGAATTCAACAAAAAAAAAAACCAGCGCAAGGGGCATTTGTTTTTGTACATTGGAAGGAATATGGCTCTGAGCTTCTGGATAAATAGACAAGTAATAGGGGTAACAAATACATAAGACTATACTCGTGTGCTGGGTACAAAAACCACGATTTAATTCGTGGAAATTAGCATCGTCTAGAAAGGATGAAGTTCAAAGAGAAAATAGCACGATTTGACAAACTGAAACACCGCTATAATTAGTACACCGGAACACATTTGAGTATATTCCCGATCGTTGAACACAACGCAAAACATGGCCGCATAACCACCTCCTTCCTCAACCCTCTGGATTTCTGTGAAAAGCCAAGGATCATCTCTTCACTATGAATTGACTGGCTTTCCATTTAATTTAGGGAAAGGGTCTTGCTTGCTCAAAACAACCACTTTACTCTTGTGAGCGAAGTAGCCTTTCATAAGGTTCTTATATATCAATATGGCCATTATACACTCCACCTGCAAATCACAGCAATCGGAAACCACAATACCACCTTCTTTACTTCTATTTAGATAGGTAATAACCTCTAAGTTGGAGAATAAAAGCAGAAGAAATATCAAAATTACCTCATCCACGTCCATGTCCATTTCAAGCCACCTCAATGCTTTCACAATAACCTCCAACTTCACCTGATGAGCTTTGTTTGGGTCCCTTTGCTTCTGAATAATGTAACTGCCATGTTGTCATGGGATAACAAGACATTAGTTGTTCATTAGCTTAAGGAGCGATCGATTCATTTATCAACCGCAACAAACATGGGAGGGTGCAAAGTGATATGGGAAACTTACATTTTCTTCATCAATCTCTGGTAAACTTGAAGTTCTAACTTCTCTAGAACAAGATATACACCTGACCTCAAGAACCTGCAAAAATAAATAAATATTGATTTTACTCTGCAAGATGAATCTTGGAATAACTCATTTGATGAGTAATTTTACCGGTCCTCATGATCTTGAAGGGCATGCCGAAGAAGTCGAAGATCACCCTTCCTTAAAGCTTGTACAATGTTACTGTACTGTCCCAAAGTTAAAAGGAGCAATTGTATTAACACACTTGGAAGACATAAATTTGCCAATACTATGCATTTCAACTAATGTATGGGGTCCACTGATGCATCCTTGGTATCATGGGATATTAAGACCCACAATGAGTAATATGAGATGCCTAATGCAGCATTTAAATGGTTTGGTTCTTCCATCTTAATTGCTAGCTCTTGGGGTAGGATACTCCATCCCATTTAGGTACCCATGGAGAGTTCTAACTTGCAGGAGGTTGAATGAAGTTTCGTGGATTGGAGCCATTGGGATGTTACCTTTACATGGGAAGCTAATGTTATGTAATTATAGTAATAAATGAGAGTTAGAGTCTGTTAGGGGGTGTTAGTGCTTCAGGTACATCATTAAAGGGGATGGGGGTAGTTTGTAAGCATGGCTTATAAGCATGAATAACGAGACTTGGTAGTATGGGACATGAGTCCCACATTGAGTAGCATGAAATACTCAATGGGTTATTTAAGTGAATTTGTTTTTCATCTCAACAGCTAGCTCTTAGAGTAAGGTTTCCTGTCCCATTTAGGCAACTACATCAGCCATAAAGGATTTAGCCCACCAATCATGCACATCACCTGAGTTGGCCGATGAACTTTACTTTCACACAAACAAACACAAGATAAAAAGGAATTCCCACTAGGCCAAACATACCTCAGGTAGGTTGTACTTCTCCAAAAGCCAATCTCTAGGTAATATGCCGATTGAAAGCTTCACGGGAATTAGATACTTAAGAATCATCCTATGTTCAAAGAAAAATAAAAGAAAGAAATATGAGACACAATGTGGAACAGTGGAAATGTAATGATTCAGTAAAACAACTGTCAAGGTATCCAGAAGACTTTGATGCACCAAGGCCATCTGGACAAAGCAGTTATCATCATATTACCCGCTAAAAAAAAAAAAAAAATTCAAATAAAACAGAGTCAGACGCATCTCAATAATCAATCATAATGATTAACTATTATTATTAATCATCCAACATTTCGCGATTAACTATCACTATTAATCATCATTTAATTTTATTAAACCAATGGTGATAAATAGTCAAGCAAATAAGGTGCAAACTAAGTGGTGTTGGACATGGTAGTCAAATCGAATTGCAAACTGGCAAGTATATTTCCAGTTCATAAATTGTAATATTGAAGAAAAAATTGAAAAATAGCTTGAAACATATAATGTAAAATCTGTATCTATACATAGCATAGTGAGATATCCTAGATAAATATTATTTAACCCATATATTTAACATAAATAATTAACTGCCAGCCATAAATTAGCCACAACTTGCCACCTTGGGCTGGCTCAGGTGGCAAAGGACTGGGACGGGGTGACGTATAAATAGTGATCAAGGGTTCATATCTTTCTGATGTACCCAAAAAAATTAGTCACAATTTGAAGTTGCAGGCCAAAATGTTCAAGCTGAAGGATTTCAGGGTTGCAAATGCATCCAATTCTGAGTATGATTAAAACCCAAAAAGAAAATAAACGTTCAGTGCACACAATCTAATCTGTATTTCGGGAGGTAAAAGAATTGTTACATATCGAGCACTGCTATTTCGCAAAATTTTTGTACACACAGATACCTGTACACGCCTTTCTCAAAACACTGTCTTTTTAAGCATGAGAATATAAGACAATCAATGTAGTAGAGTCCTTCAGTTTTACGTAGTCCACCTAATCTCTAACAGAGTAAAAGCTAGGAGATGGAATACAATGTGGTTCCACAAAAGGCTGATTCCAAGAGTTAAGGGACACGCTTTAGACGCATCTATCCCATTGCAAGCTCTATAAGATGATCCCCTTCCAGACCAGTTTAGACACTTTAATTAATAGCTATTTACCTTCCAAAAGGTTCACTAATCTAATTATCCAACTAATAATTTTGTTCTATTGGGCTGAAAAAAATGGCATAAATAAAAAAAATAGACCAATATATATTAAATGTACCATCAACGATCATATTTTAAAAGCTAGTACACATCAAATATGCATATTTACTGTCACATGGATGCATTATTGCAAGCAAAGTACATTGTAATTTAACCACTAAAAATCACCCTCATGCAAATGCCATATACACAGTTAGCACACCTGGACCAAACCTGATATTGGCTTCACTCTGAGGGTTGCAATGCTTCAAGGCATACGATAATTTATGATCAGCCTGTCAAGTTGTTTGTGCAAAACATAAATAAAGACCTTAAAAAATTGAAGTAAATCTTTAGCTCTTACTGGTTACTACCACATAATATTAGCTAAAGTAAGATTCAGTTGAAAATGGAGATGAAACATTCATGAGATAAATTAATAAAAGTTAAGCAATACATTGATTCAAGTGAGCTCACAACAATGGTATGATATACCATTCTGTTAAAAATAGTATTGCTTAGATATAGGCATGCCATTGTAAAGTAAAAATATACTGAAATATTATAAATCTAGCAAGAAGGTGACGCATCAAACTCAACATGCAAGTAGCTCATAATGATTGAGAAGAAATTAAAACTACTTACAGCAAGGAAATTTTCATTGAAAACTTCAAGGCGACCAGTATAGTACATGTAAGTGACCTGAAGCCAACCATCATGGTAAGCATATTTGAAAATACAAACATATATTAATTGGATTCCAAGTTCCAACACTAACCTTGTCATTTCTAGGAAATTCTTCGAAGTCAAATATGCGTGCAGTTTCAATGCTTCGTATTACACTGCGGCACAGGTGAACTGTACCAAGCTGTAAAGCAGCAATAATAAATATATCAGTATTAACTTCAATAACAGACATCATTCCAGTCCTAACCCCACCCTTACTTGAATCCAGTGAACATGTCACAAATTTCATAAGCTCAGGTGGTCCCCAAGTTAAGTTCAGACTGGTGTCAACTGACTTTCAAGAACCATCAATGACTAATATTGAAGTAAAATGTACAATAAATTTTACCTTAAAGTAAATCTTGAATAATTGACAAGTTACATATAATGCTCCAACACGCTTTTGTCCTTTCCCCTGGAATACAAAAAAAAAAACCATGAAAGAGTAAGCAGAGCTGCTCTAAATATCAAACTCCACGCAAGTGCCTTGGCGCAGATAGAAGTATTTTCTTCTTGTTTTGCTGATATAACGGGTAGAAGAATATGTTGCACGAAGTTAATTCTAAATGGGAAGAAGTGTTAGGCCATGACCTGGGAAACACTAAATATTTCTTACGAGATGGCTAACCAACAGGATTAATTAAGCGCAAGGCTAATCTGCTACCCGAGACAGGAGAATTTTAAGATTTAGAAGGCATTTCACATTATTTAGTGTTAAGTCATAAAATGACAGAAATAAGTAGCACCATTGTTAATTTTTCAAAAGAGGGGAATATTGTGCCTGCAGTCATTGTTGGGTTCAAAAAACTAAAAGGATCAACAATTAAAGTGACTGAAAACAAAGGTTAACATGTAGACCGCGTAACACGTGATGTAAATTTATAAAGATCGCAGCAATAAGTAGCGTCACTCTTAATTTTCAGACAGAGAATAATGAGCTCACAATCATAGTTAGGTTTTGAAAACTCAAAGTATCAGCCCTTAAATAGATCAAATTAAATACAAAACCTAAAGGTAAAATTGGATTTCAAGTAACAATATGTTGTTTATGCCAACAAAATAAGTATCAACGACAAAAAATTACAGGAGAAAATCTTTTAAGTAATGAATGGACTAGACAACTAAGCATCTACATCCGCAATAGGAAACATACCGCAAGTACACCAAAAACTTTCATAAGGAATGAACCAGCTCCTTTCAATTTCTCGGGAGATTTCCCATTTGAAGCCAGTTCTTTGTCAGCCTAAGAAAAGGAAACAACAATAAAAATCTTGACCCGTTATCTAAACTAAAGTATATGAACTTAAGGTATGAGAAACCCATGAGGGAATCTTTCCGAATCATAAAACGGCATTTCATATCATACCCTCTCCGCAAGAACCCTAATTTCGTAAACAATGGCGTACAACGCTTCCAAGGCCCACGCGGATTCCCAATTGCGAAATTCCTGGATGAAAGCACTGAATTCCAGCCATTACAACAACCATATCAATGCTAGGATATCTTTGTTTTTAAAAAAATAAATACTACATATATGTTTAAACTCAGGAAAAAGGAATGCAGAAAAGGGATGGGGAGTAGAAATACTTGGAAGATTTTTCAAATGATTGATAAGATTCAACCAAATTGCCCTGCTTATAACTTTGCAAGGAGCGGAAAACAGGAACAAGGATTTCTCCGTACTGATAATACTTCTCGGACTGCTTGATCAACCTATTAGCATCCTAAACAGATACCCAAACACGTCCAATAGATTAATAATCCTTTTGGAACATCCATGGATAAGCTAAATTCACAAGCGAAAAGAAAGGGGGTGAGAGATATATATATAAAGAGAAACCTGGAAGAGATTAAGGGCGTCAGCCACAGAGAGAAGGAAGGGGGAGTTAGAGGAGAGAGAGAAGAGAGACTTCAGGGAAGCTCCGTCTTGAGAAGCAATGGAGTCGCAGAAGCGATTGAGATATTCCGTTATCCTCCTGTGTGCTTCCCCCATGCTCATGTAAGCCATGGCTGCTTGCTTGTTTCTTCCACTCTCTTCAAATTTCGATTCAAAGTTTCAGGCCAACTTCGATCGGTGCGTTACTGTATTATGGCTATTTTCCGATTCCGATTATTCTCGTTGGACTTCGTAAACGACATCGTTTCGAGCTTCCATTGCTCCTCAGAATTTCGGGCTGGCCTATTAGGCCCAATGGCCCAAAATCTCCAAAAAGGCAACTGTTGCTGCGTCTCTCTTTACGCGCTCGTCATATTGAGTGGAAGCCATTGCCGTGCTGAGAGAACAATCTGGAGACGAGAGCAGGTGACTGAGCAGCGAGGTTAAGGGTCCTTTCGGAGGCGTAGCTTCTGTTTCTTCGCCGTTTAACGTGGTATGCAAAAGTTTATAGTGTTTTATTCAATTCGCTCAGCCACATGTTATAGCTATGACGACGTCGACTTCTTTTTCCTCTTCTTTCTTTCCTTTGTCTCATCTTTCGTGGTTGATGTTTGAGCTTATTTCTTTGTAGTTCTCGAAATATTGTATTTAGATGGTCGTTTTTGGTTTTGTTTTGCTCCCTCTATTTATTGGCATAAACCCTTCTTTCTTTCTGCTGGAGCAGTTTGCTATGGAGGGTGAATATAACGTTTTAGATATCATTGACGAGGAGGAGAGGTTTGACAATGTTGATGACGATGTTGAGATGCTCGATGTTGAAGAAGGAGAGCTGTTGAACCATGATTCAAAGACTGATATGGGGCAAGACAGTAGTGGAGATATCAATAGAGCAAATAAAGAATCCCAGAGTAAGAATCGCAAGCGTAGAGCTAATAAGAACAAGAATAAGAAGAAGAGGAAGGGTTCAGGATCCATCGACGTAAACAGGTACCCTCTTCTGAATAGGAAGCCACGCACTTTTAAGTTTGCCTTGGATTACGGAGTCAATTGAAAATAAAATCATTGGTTATACCTCAATGCCAAAAAAGTTGGTCATACAGGAAGGTTGCACCCGTAGTACTGAATTCTAATGAATTATGTTCTTTTCAGGTTTGTGTTAGATACTTGTCGGCGGTTGAAAGAGAAGAAGTCATACATGGTATACACAGCTGTAGGTTGCCTTGGGGTCGCAGCATTAAGCGACCTCATCAAAGAGGTATTAGAACCTTTTATTTTCTATTAATTTGGTTTCATATTGAAAGTTTATTTCCTTAATCAGTTTGCCTGACAAAGTAGGGCTTTCTGTGGAACATAATGCGAATTTTGAAGTTGGAAGTTGAAACCAAAAAAAAAAAAAAAAAAGAAGCCTGAAGAACCATGTACAGAACAATACATTTCGAGGCTCTTATAAGAAGCACCACTGTGCTAAACGTAGTCGAAAGCTTGGAGAGGCTTTGCTTCTGATGCTATCTGTCTACTTGATGATGTTATGTTCCTGGGGTCCCCCGGTGGTCTTAATTTCCCTTTATTTACCAAAAATTGGAAGTCTTACTTTTGATGTTGATTTTGGTAACCAATTACTAAAATGTTCATATAACTAAGTGTCTTGTCTTAATTGTCCAATCCTTCTCCGTTTTTCTTACGAATCACCGATTTCTTAATTCTAAATAGTTTTATGTCCTTATAGTTTTATGGAGGCTTATGTTTTTTGGGGCTTGATTGGCTACTATAAGTTTGCTGTAACAACTTTGTTCCGTTAAGGCACACACAAATGCAAAACTTTGATCCTTGATGTATCAGTGTCTGCAGCATGCACAGTTATAAACACTATCTTTTTAATTTTCTGGTTCATCTTATATCTAATTATCTACCACTTGAACATCATAGAGTATTGTTTCTACAACCCTAGATCTGCCCTCACAAAAGTTGCTGGGTTTTGTTGTGTGGTATTATCGCTGCTATCTGGATGCTCTTCAACTTCACTCACTGGATCTTCTATTAGTCCTCAGTTAAAATGTGCTTTCCATTTTTCTTTTAATAAAAAAAATTCTGTCACAATTAGTTTTTTTATTTCTTCTGGTTCTTTCTCTTTCTCAACGGGCGCATGTTTTGTCCCGGGAGCAGATGTAGTTAGTATGCTTTTCCTAAGGAAAGGTGAGAAATTAGGTCCTACCTTATTTGCACAAGCCTAGAGCTGATGGTGCTCATCCACTCTTCTATTGAACCACTCAACCTTTCATAATTTCTGATGCACAATTTTGTGTCCGTAACCTTGCAGATTTTTTCTTCCAGAAGCTTGTTTGCCCCCTTCTACATCTATGCTTGAGATCTGAGGTTCCTGGCTGAACCACTTCATCATTTGTTAATTGTGAAGGTTGAGATTCATTCTTTACTTCATTTTGTCGGTGACAGTGCACATGTAAAAGCTGTTTTCACTTGAAGAATTGAACATGCTGGCTATAAACTAAGTGATGTTTGCTTACCTAACGTAGCCAGCCACTGATGTTCAAGCCAAAGGTGGATAACATTGAATGCCATCTTATTGTCCCTTCACTGATGACAAGATATCTGTTTTATGAATTTCTTACGTTCTTTTCTTGTGTAATTTTTAATTATAATTTTTTGCTTGTACAAATTATATGGCCCTTGGAAGCTTGATATACCAAAGAAGGGTCGGGTAATCAGCTACAATATGTACCATGCTCTGCTTGCATGCTGATGATGGCTTTTTTGGCTGTCGTCATTGTTGTCAAAGACATCTCAAAAGCTTTTGTTGTTGGCTTTGGTTCTTTTGTATATGTCCAATTTGATACTCTCCAAACTTGTATGATAACATGTTCAAGCTACAGGTTGATGCTATCCAAACTTGCGGAGGCCAGATGACTGTTGATGGTAGCCGCTTCCGAAATGGTGGTGGTATATTGTGGAATATCATTAAAACTCGAGAACCAAAAGCTTATAAGGAGATAATGAAAAAAGCAAAGGACTTTGAGGTGTGTGAGTAATTTTTCTAATGCTGACAAACTGTTTGGTTTCTAGATTCCCCTCGTAATTTATGCAGGGAAGGTTTTTATAGGTGTGGACTTCAAAAGGGGGAAGGGATAAGGAAAAATGTGATTAGTGCTCCTCTCATATGATGAGGATAAGTAGAACTGAGTTATCTCTCAGCAATGAAGCTTGCTTATGGCAGCATATGTATATGTATATGTATATGTATATGTATATGTCTGTGTGTATATATATGCATATTGGATTCCGAGGTGAAAATGAAGACTGGGTAAAAATTTGCTGATTACATTGGTGCATAATCAGTATTTTTTTTTTTAAATGTTTTGTTTCGCTAAGATTAGTGAATTGGTCAGGGCAACCTCTGCCATCTAGAATATTATATACAACATTTGATTTGTTATGCCTGTGGTTTAGCTTAAAAGTTTATGAGTTCCATGATGAATAACCAAGCCTATGGATTATCTTAATTTAAGCTTGTATGCTAATTTGACTAAGTAATGATGAGTAGTTTGTATTGCTTAACAAGTTTGTGCAATCATGCAGAAGCAATTCAGACGGCCATTTGCGGAGCGACCCTCCGGGCAAAAGAAAGAGGATTCTCCAGAAGTGACATTTTCATTTGCTAAAGGGGCTGAAACCAATGTTTCAGATGACACTGTTGTTGCATCCCCAGTTCAAAATCAAAATGAGCCATCTGCATCCGAAGAGAAACGCATCTCTGTCCATGATAGATTGAGGATACCTGTTTCATATGATGATGACCTGCTTGCAGAGAGTGCAAATAATAATGCAGCTTAGTTGTGGGACAAAGAGCCCTTCATTGATTAATATTTTCCCAGAGATGGAGGCCTACCAAATGCATTTCTTCCTATTTCCTTTTGGATTGAGCAAACAACATCCGCCTCGTGCTCTTTATGCACAGAAAGTACTAGAGGAATTCTTTTATTTTTTTATTTCCAAGGATGTTGTCGTTTGTGATTTTTATTTTATTGGTGAGAATAGAGGTATTTAGTTGCTTTTTGATGGTAAAATATCAAAAGCTTATTTCATGAGTTACTTTGTGAACATGGATGAGGTATATATTTATTTTCTCATGGTTTTGGCTTTGCATATTTTTTAATTTAAAAAATTTATGATTGTGTTCTTATAGCTGTAAAGTGGAAAGATTATTAATTTGGTCGCGCATGATTTATAACTGATTTATAATTAATTTAAGTTGGTGTGACTGGTAGAGGTTTACCCGTTCTCGTGGGTGCACTGGCCAAATTGGAATGAGTGTGGTTTTTCACTTCCGGCTCGCAAAAGAATGAACGATTTGTGTAAAAAACAATTATCTTTTTTTTTTTGGCCAGCCAATAAAATGATCTCTATGCTGCTATAATGTAAAATTTTTTTTTTGACAAGTATTCATGTAAATTTATTACTCTTGTATAATGGTCTGCATTTTATTTCTAAATAGAGAATGTTGGGGGCTTTTCATGCGTATCTGGTTTTTATAGACAAAGTTATTTCAAAGTCTCATGTAAAAAGGTTCAATATAAAAAATCTCAGGAAGAATATATAAATTACCCAAATTTTAAAATTTTCATATATAAACAAAATTGTAATTATATCAAAGTGCACAAGCGTATGAAACCCTAGACAATATTCTATTAATGATCGTGCCATCTCATTCCATCAAAAGCCCCTGCATATGCTCACCTTGCGGAGCATAAATTCCATGGCAAACATAAGCATGTTTTTTCTAGAATGGATTGATATAATTTTGGGTGCTTTAAAGTTGTATTTATTTTGGTTTTGATCTTTTAATCTTTTTTTCATTTTTATAATTTAATAAAAACTTAGATCATTTTATTTCTTGAAGGATCAAAAACTATAATTTTTAATTTGAAAAATTAAAACTAAAATTCCTATAAACTTAAAAGGGCAAAAAATGAGTATTAACTACTACCTTCGATTCTTAATATAAGAGCCTATTTGACTTTTATTTTAGCCCTAAATATAAAACTCTAATCTACTTTGTCTTTCATATTTATACATTTTTTTTTTCAAAGCAGATCTTCTAACAATAATAGTTTTAGTCAATACACTTGATTGACAAGGATATTTTAGGAAAGACAACATCTATTTAGGACAAATAACTAACTCAATTTACTTCTTTAATCTCCTCAAATTAGTCAACTGGTTCTTATAATTAGGATCAGATGTAGTATTTTAGAAATCTTATCACAAGTTTGATTCCAATTTTTTTTTCCCAGCATTTTGATTCCACTTATGAGCTGTGATCATTAATAGGGGACTTTTTTGTTTTGGCCAGGGACAAGTTTGACTTGTACATGCCTTTATAGTCAAAATAAAAATAATGGTTCGAATTTCGATATTGGAACTGGCAAGGAAAAAACAAAGGAAAAAAGAGGAAGAATTTCGTTGCTGGAGCAGCAGCGGAAATCACCCAATGGCCTTCCATACCCAACCAACATTTGTACTGTTGGTTCAGTTCACAACACAGTGACTCGCCTTATCCACTGCAAAACGATAATGGCGCGGCACCATTCGCTTGCCGCCAATTTGCTTTTACCCTTCTCTATGCCGACCTTCGAACCTTTATCACCCGCCATAACTCCCCATCTCCCATGTCGAAGTTGGGTTGTTTGTGCCAGCAGCCAAAAGCGCCTGATCCCAATTTCTCATGTATATGAGAGGTTCATCGACTGGTCCTTTGTTTTCACAGCCTCAGTCATTTTTTGAAATTATCTGTATTTGATGAAACTATCTAGAATTCAACATTGGCAAGTGGTCCGGAAAATATATCGGGATGATTTACTGATATCTTGTATAATTATTGTTGCGCTTATCTTTCTGGATTACTGCATTAATTTTAGATGGTACCAGCATCATCGCTAGTTTGGACTTGGGTAATCATCAAATTTGTTGATTGTTAGGTGTTCCTGGTAGAGACGAATCTGGATGTGCTAATCTTGGGTATATTCTATCTAAATTTGTGTGCAGGACTGCTAAATATATTCATTGTTTGACCTTTATATATTTCGGCTTATTTTTAGCACCCTGTATTGATATTATTGTGAATATCTTGCATTTCGTTCTTCCTGTCATTCCAATTTAGTTCATCATAACCGGCTTCCTAATCCTTTTCCCCTCCCTCTTTGATTATCTAGGCACAGACGCTATGAAGCTACTGGTTGTTTTTTCACTAGGAGATTGTGGGAGCCGCCATGGTTAACATGTTTTAATGTCACATGCAGATGGCTGTCTCATATCATTTCCTTGTACTTGCTATTCCTCAGTCTTGTTGCCAACGCTCAGGACTATCCAGCTTCCTCTACTTACGCTTGTGAGGATACTTCCTCTTACTATTCCCACGTGAAGCATTTAAGAGGTGAAGCACTCAAGAAAAAGTTAAATAGCCTTGTTGCCCCACATCATTCCTTATCCTACAAAGAGGTCATTTCTGGTTTTTATTTTATATGCTACTTTAATTTCAATGAAATCTTTGTACAAATAAACTAGTTTTACTTTTATGTTCTGTATTGAGTTTTAAATCTGCAGATCTAAGATGCTTCTTTGATTAACAGGTGTGGGATGCCCTCAAGTTTCTTGATGCTGCTAATATTGATGAACCTGATGCTTCATCAGGAGTGTATGGACCTGCCATTACTGATATTGCTTTAACCGGTCAACTTGGAATACCTTATATTTATCATATCGGCTGATTTTTATATAGTTGATGGTTCATGTTTTGCAGAGTTGAAATATACTCCTTGAGAGTTGTCCCAAAACGCTTATCCGGAAAGCCACAGGGATGGAATAGTGAGTCAACTAGACAATTTGCTAGAGTTACGATGTCATTATGTCAGTTACTTTGGTCTCAATCGCGTTGTTTTTGCATCTGCTGCTGCTAATGCTCAATTTCACATGTTTATTCTTCTTTGATGTTTAATATAGAAAGACAGTAGGGACAGGGAGAAATTGGGGGTGCGGGGAGACAAAAGAGAAACACAGAAGGAATATGAGAGAAAGGAAATGCACTTCACTAATCTGTCAACAACTGAATTACAAATGCATTGTGGACTTAGGAAACTGCTGTTGAACTTGATACAAGGAACCCGTGTGGCTTCCTCATCAGCTAAACTAGAATTTCTGTCATCATTCTTCCTCGTCTTCTTCCAACCCGTTTGTTCAACACTCTTTCTGGTTCAATGGTTTCTGTAGTTCTGGCCAATCAACAGGGGCGTGCCGCTGTTTTGCTCATGGGTCTGGACACAATTTCAGCAATGAGACATAGTATGTAGGATGAATTCGACATTCAGCTGGTAGTTCTAGTTTGCAACCAACCCTTCCCACCCTTTCTAACCCTCCACAGCGACCAAAGTACTTTGGAGGTAACTTCTGAGTACTTCTGGTAGCCACTGAAATTTGTCTATAGGCTTGTAATTTTAGAAAAACCCACTGATGTGGAATATACGGGGGGAATGAGAGAGAGAAGAGGAAAAGATAGAATAGAGAGACACGGAGAGGGAGACGAGAGAGATAGAAGAGAAATTCTATTCCATTCAAGTCACTATTATTCTCAGAAACTCATCACTGAGAGGTCCTTCATCCAGTAGCCCATCTTGGGCCTCACCTTCTTCACCTTCTTCACAAGCCGCAACTGCATTTTCTTACGCTGTGGGCACTGGTGGTTTTTAGAATATCTCTCGTGACAGAAAAAACACAATTTTTTCGCCCTGTGTTCATCAACTTCTTCTGGAGACAGCATTTTATTTAGTCCATTTTGAGGTTTTCCTGTTTTTGAGCCAAAGGCAAAGTTTTTTGATGATTCGCTTATGGCTTCACTTCTTGCTAGTACCCGCTCCCTGTTGACACACTTTTGTAAGCCTTCACCCCATCTTGATTTGCTGGTAACAACGCCCCAGCCCCCACCAGAAGACATGTTTGCACCGTTCTTGGCAGCCGTTGCCTTCTCGGCATCTCGTTGCATATTGAACTCAGTGAGCCTTGCGATTCTTCTTGCGTCCTTCAAGGTCGCGGGTTTAAAGAGACGTACAGACCCGTCGACATCTTCACTCAGTGCTTCGATATATGCTTGGACCACGTACTCTTCTGGAAGTCGCAGTTTCCAGATAATACTGTCAAACTGGTCGTCAAACTCGGCCAACGATCCCAGTTGTCGAAGCTTCATCAACTCCTCCATCGGAGATTCATAGGGGGGTCCGAATCTTTCTTTAACGGCGTCTGCCAGGAACGTTCGAATGCCTCGTGCCACTTGGACGCCTTATCATCTAAATGAAAGCTCGCTATCGTCACCTTCACCTCTTCAGGGGTCTCGTCCAACCTGAAATACCTTTCGCACTTCATCAACCAGCCAAGAACGTCGCTTCTTTGGAATCTTGGAAACTCTATCTCCGTAAAACGAGTTGCTCTCTGGTATTCCGCGTGCCCTGTTCTGTGACGCTCATCTCCGTTGCGCGCACTTGTTCTGTTAACGGCCTCTTCTTTGTCTTGCATGAGCCCAGAGAGTTGCGCCGTCACACCCTCCACCATGTCTGTCAAGGTCGATAGCTTCGGTAAGCTTTGTTCAAGAAATCGTATACGAGTATCTATGTACTGTTCCAGCTGTCGCACGCGTTCATCAACCTCACGGAGAGCAGTCTGGTTTCGTGTTTCAGCCATATTGCCGAGGATAACCTGGCTCTTAGATCCCACTGATATAGAAAGATAATAGGAAGAGGGAGCGATGGGGGGAGAGAGAAAAGAGAAACAGAGAATGAATCTGAGACGAAAGGAAATCTTGAGAACTGAAATGCACTTGACTTCAGTAATCTGTCAACAAAGGGACTTATTTATAGCATACTGCTTTTATTGTTCTAACCGTCAATAACGACCTATTAGTTTTCGGTTTATTTATATACTCTTCGGGTCCTTAATATAGAACCCAATTGGTGAGTTGATTTTGGTCCTAAATATAAGACTCATTTCTCATATTTATCAATTTTGTTTAAATTATCCCTATAGATACTCCTTCAATCATAATCAAGTGTAGAAGAGGGAGAGGGGTATTAAGAAAGATGATTATGGTGTTTTAGGAAAAACGTGTCACATTTTTTATAATTAACTACCTTACCTAACTTTCTTAATCTAATTAAATTAGTTAAATGGGTCTTATATTAAGGACCGGAGGAGTATCTCATAATAACATTTTGATACCAAGGCTAAAATGATAACATATTATCAGCGATTAAAATACACGTATACAAGATTCAATTTATAGGTCATTTTAAAGAATGCTTAAATTTCTTAATTGGGTCATATTATTAATTCAACTTACTGAAAGTGTTGATCCGTAATAGGACATGATGTATGATTAATGACAATTAAGGCAAACAACTAATTTTTATCATGTGTTCTTTTTTTGACCAAAAGATTCTTATCATCTATTCAAGGGATTAAAATTGAGCGCAAGAGACAAAGGTCTAAAATTCCAGAACATCTTATGATGGGGTTTAAGTTGTGGGAAGTTCAGAAAGATGGCTTACAATTTAAATTATTTGACAGGCATAACCTGTGAGTCAGCTACATGGCGTTATCCAAAGGGGTCTTGATACCCGTGGAACTGTATAAATTGTCTCTGACTTGCCGAGGACATAATTTGATATTGATATTGATATTGACTGAATGCAAAAGCAAAAGATAAGATAAAATTTAGAAATTTGGATCCCAGAACTCTTGGCTAGATCAATTGCTAAGCAAATGTGCTCAACCTTTGCTTGTTTTGTTGCTTTGTCATAATCAACCTTCTTAGTTTTACTTATATGGCTGATGGCTTGATCAAGTTTTGACACTAGAAACACAAGGGTCTTGTTATGAACTTTTCGAAAATGAAAAGAAACCCATGCCTCTTCTAGACAAGAATGGGATAAAGCAAATGCAATAATGAGTTATAGCTCCTGAAACTAAGTAATATATGATTGGGATTCACTCATTTAAGAAACATTTTCCAGGAGAGCATCTATGGCCTCGTTCTTATGGACTAACAAATGGTCCTTCTTTAACGGATCTACATAACATTCGCCCTGCTGATGCAAATGGTAAGGGAATCCACTGCTCAATATATTTAAACACAAAATTCTGATTTCTATTGATGGTGCATGTTTCTCTTAGTCAATGCATCAAGGGGAAACAAGTATTATGGAGAATGCGAGGCTAAATCCTCCAAGTGTTTGAAGCCAGCGAACAAAGAAGCTGCTCTGGACACTGAAACAGACAGAGAAAGATGGGCTCCACCGAGGCAGGTATTGTGTGTGTATGTGGGTCTGATGGTCTATACATATGGTTCTTTTCTTCTTCTTGGTTTTTTTCCCCATTTATCCTCTCTGAACCCTTGTAACTGATTGCTGATCGTGCGAGAGATTTATCGTGGCTACCAAGCTTTGAGCGTTGAATTATAAGCCTCGGCTGTAAAGATTGCTATTAAGCTCCATTTTAATGGTTTTCATGGCCAACTCATTCCCAGAGAAAAACTCAGAATTAGTGAAAGAATCATGTAGACATTGATATTTCTCTGCACGGATAACTAATTTATTGTTCACTCAACTAATTTATTGCAAAGATTTTTCATAGATATGTCTTGAAATTAAAATGACTTCAGGTCAGAGGGGATATTGCAAGGGCATTGATGTACATGGAAGTCTGTTATGGATTCCAACAATCAGGAAGAATTCCAGGTCTTCGCCTCTCAGATGCCCCCAGTACAGGTACGTTAAATATTTCTCCTTTTGAATTTGCGGGTTGCTTGAGTTTTGAAGTTCTAATTTATATACACCTGGATTTCTGCATTCTTGTCTGACAATCCCGATGTGGAGAATCCATCCTTCTCGTGTTCTTGTCAAATTCAATATTGATATGCTGTGTCATCTCATATGTTATCTCATCCCGACCATGATACATAGTAGTGCAGGATCTAAAGACAATAGAATAGTGGGTTGAAATTTATGTTTTGTCACTTACTTGTATGCAGAAAAGAAAGAGATGGGACTTCTTTCAACATTGTTAAAATGGAATGAGGTTGATCCGCCTTCGAGAGAAGAGAGATTAAGAAATGAAAGAATATGCAAGTTTTATCAGCATAATCGGAATCCTTTTGTTGATCACCCCGAGTACGCCAAGCTTATATGGAACCACCCTCTTTCAAGACGTCCTCCTAATAGTAGCAATAACATGAGTGCCCCAACCAAGTAAGAGTCTGAAGATGTCTGTCAATCATGAAACAAGAAAAAAAAATATATATATATATATATATATAGCAAATGTACATTCAGGAGAAATAGAAAAGAAAAGTGTTTATATCAAAATTTAAATTTCACCCTCTTTCACCTTCATGTCATTTTTCCTTAATCCAGACATATGAGATGCAGGGCTCTCTTGTAGACCCTTATTTTTCCGTGGCAGAAGCCTGCAAGAAGGGAGTCTGATCCAAATTTCAAGTTCTTTATGTGGAGACATGTAAGCTGTTCCTCCCCCATAAGTTTTTCAGAATCTATAAAATCAAGCTAGATGATTAGTTGTCATTTGTAACGTCAAATGTTTATATGCAATCAAATATATGTGTGACCTTAGGGGTAGTGTGGAAGTGGAAGTGGGGATGAAAGGTTACTTTGTTAGAGATAAAATGAAACACTTCAAATATATATAATGGATTTTAGAGGTATTTCTTGGCCTTGTAAATAGTAATTTGTTACTTTTTTAATTGCAAAAGGTGAGTTTACTGCAACAGTTTTTATCAGGTTATATGGTTGAGGAGATCAATTGAAACACTTCAAAATCAGGAACAAGAAGATCCAACAATTTATTTTAACAATGCTTCAGCAATCAAAATTTGCTAAAATTCAACTTTACATTAAGAAAGTTAAAAAAAGAAAAAAACCAAGCACGTGAATGCAAGGTTTCATTTTCGTCCGTGATCTTATCATCTAACTGATCAGGCATTTTATGAATGTTCTTTAGCAGATTTTATTTAAGAGGCCTTAATTAAATCTTTATACTCTTAAATTCAATGCCTGCCAATGTTGATCAAGGAAAATATTGTTGACACATACATAGTCTCATGGAGAGTGCCATAATCCAAGACCTTAAACACAATTTTTAGCTCAGACAAAAAAACAAAGAAATAAAATGTGAGTTGAAAAGCAAAAAATAAGTCTTTGAACTGAAAAAAATGTACAAGTTAAAAAGTAATAAGCCTAAAGCCTATCCATTTACATACTTCCTCCCAAAGCTTAATGATTTATAAAATATTTTAATTTGATAATTATTTTATAAAAGTCTAAAACTTTAATTTATTTCCTACCTTTTAATACTAATTGTATTGCTAATGGCGAATCCATTCAGATCTTAATGTTTCACAGTTTAGCAACTGTCTTAATAAAAATCAATACAAGTACAACCATGTAACTGAAAATGTTGTAATTTAAATAATAATGGTAAACTTTGACGTTTTGAGCATGACACAGAGTTATATAATTTATATCCAGAACAATACCTAGGGTTTTAATTTTCGTGGACCGAAGTACGCAAGAAATACAACGGCGACCAAACCTCGTCATTCCGTGCTCTGTCGCTCGATTGTTCCGTTAGGGTCCATTGAGAGATAATTCATGCCCTTATAATAAAACTCATCTTTCGTCGTCACCCGCGAAGCTCTAGGGTTTCCCAAAAGACCAAACCGTGCATCCATCCGTCTATCGGCTACAGAACCGATGGAGAACGGGTCACAGCTGGGTCGCTCCCTCATCAAGCAGCTTGCCTGCTGCAACAAGGCCACTCGAGACAAGGCTCTTCGAGTCCTTTTCAAGACGTGGCTTCCTTCACAATCCCAACTTCCCGATGACGACATGAAGAAGCTCTGGAAGGGCCTCTTCTATTGCGTCTGGCACGCGGACAAGGTCCCTGTTCAGGCTGAACTCATTGATCGCCTCTCCTCACTGCTTCTAGTTCTCGATCTGGGTCTCTCTGAGCATTACTTCTCCACTTTCGTGCTCACTATGCGTCGCGAATGGTCTGGAATTGACGCCCTCAGGTTAGACAAGTTCTACCTCTTAATTCGGAGATTTCTCCACAATTTTTTTGTTCTTCTCAAAAAGAATTCGTGGGATTTGGAACTTACCCAACGGTTAGTGGGTGTTTTGGATGAGAGGACTTTCTCTGCCGAAGATAAGTTGCAGGGCAATGGAGTTAATTACCACATTGCCTCTATTTTCTTGGAAGAGCTTAGGCCTTTCCTTCCCATTCGGTCGCAAGTGCTTGAGGTTCTCTTCAAGCCCTTTATCACCGTTATGGGAAAATTGCCTGATAAAGTCTTGTTGGGAAAGATTAAGTCTAATATGTTTGATGAGCTGCTAAAGATGGCGAAGAGATTGTTGGAGGTTAAGAAGGCAGGGGATGAGATCGATTCGGGAGATGATGTTTTGGTGCTTGGAACTATAGGATTAGTCATGGGGTTCTCGATGAAATTTTATGAGTTGGGCTCTTCACCTGAATGCTGCCAGGGAAATAGAAAAGTATTGTTTGCTCTACATGAGGAATTTAAGAAGTTAGAGAAAGACATGGCATGTTCAGGATTTGAGTTCTCAATTCCTGATGTTGATGATCAGGATGAAGACAATGTGCCAACTTTAGTTCCTATTGCGACGACTATGGATGTGGATGCTCCAGAAGGTGGTTTGGAATGTTGTGAAGACGTTTCAAAGGTTTCTAATGGAGCCGCTGGTAAACAGTTGAAAAAATGTAAGAAGGACAAAAAAGCCTCTATTATCAAGGAGAAAAAGGCTAAGAAGAAACAGAAGCGTGATCCCTCTTATTCTATGAAGGAGGAGATTGCTACCGAGAATGAGAATCAAGTCATAGTTTGTGAAAATGGCTCAAACGATGAACAAACCAATATATTGAATGAATCTGTGATTTCAAACCTCCAGAAGCAGTTTGAGATTGTTGCTGCCGAAGCAGGCTTGGATGATGGAATTGCAAGGGTCTCTGATTCTCCTGAAGCTACCACTACGGGAACTGTATCTAAGAAGAGAAAGAGAACAAAGACTTTAAAAGGACAGCAATCTCAAGATTCTGAGGTGAGTTGTGGAGATGCTGAAGGCATCAAAGCTGTTAAGGGTGGGGAGGGAAGTAAAAAGAAAGTAAGGTTTTCCATGAAAAATAACTTGGTGTGGAAGCCACAAAATCCTTTACCTCCTCAGAGCTTGAGGTTGCCTCCCTCTGTTACACCCAGAGGAAGTGCACTTAAGAAAGGTGTACCGCCAGGTCCCATCCGGGAGATGCCGCTCCCAGCTAAAAAGCTGAAATTGAAGAAGGCCAGGAAGGCAGTGAAGGGTGTTTCTCCATCTGTGAAACGATTGAGAAAAATAAAATCCCTTCCTGCATGATTCTATGATGTTCTTTGGCTACGAAGTTTTTTTTAAGTCATAGGATGATGTTTCGGTAACATTATTGTCAGCACTGATTTATTTACTACCCTTGAAAGGTTATTGTGGTATCAATTTTGTTTTCTGCACAAGTGAACATGTGAATTGAGAAATGTGATGTTGAGGTTACTTCGATTTTTCACTTACATCATGAATATCTCCCACTTTTCATTTTCAAGGAAACTCACTTTTTTAATTCTTGATGATAAATGGTAATGTGGATTCAATTTCGTAATGCTTTTAATCTGATACCTCTTTAAATTCTTGGCATATTCCGCTGAAAGGTTTATCATCTGATATGATCCTTACATGGGAATACCTGGCCATATTCTTATCAAAGATTTATTGCTTTCAGCAATCTGCATCATTAGCAGGTTTATCTTGCCTATGATATCAAAAGATCTATCTTGGATGATTGATGGTGGAGCATGAGGGCTCTTTCCTGAATTCAAGGACTTGGTTGGTGCCCTTTTGCATGGCTTGATTGTATTTGCTTTCCATCGGCAAATGCATGAAGGCCCGCAAGTTGAGCATAAGTTGAGAGTTTATGATTCTGTTTTGGGTCTCACTGGGTGGTGTTTTACTGCTTTTGATTTAAGGTGGATGAAAGTGATAGTTGATTGTTGATTGTTGATTGCGTTGGTGTTATTTGAATAATGCCCTGTTTCTGATGGTTAACAGGGAAGACGAAAGGATCCATAAAAGGGGCAGAGAGCTTGTGCCATGATGAACCCCTCTGGCGTGGTTGGTTAGGTAAAAGAGGAGCACTGGGGCTTTTAGTTTGTGCGGGACACAATCACTTGACTTCCTGGTTATTCATTTCCCATTGTTGAATTGGAATTTTTTTGGGGGCCCCAGTAAGCTGTTTTGTGGCTAGTTAGTTTTCTCTTGTAAATATGCTTACCACTCTTGTGTACATGAAAATAGGTATGAAGCAACCTGTTTACTCTAGTTACTATAGCCTTCTATTTTGTTGATAGCCAGCCATGTCTTCAAACTCAAGGAGCTTGAAATATATTTATGTGGTTTCTTAATTCTGAGCAAATTAATGATGGAATCGTGTATGAGTTTATGGAGTCATTTGGACTTGAATGCAGCGTGTTAGAGGGAATAATGATCATAATGGGGAAACTTTTTTTTATTAAGGCAAACTCTTCTAATTTTGTTTGGTCACAGAATTTGGACAGCACCTAGTAGTAGGGATTTCATACTTCCCTTAAGGAGAGGAATCGTTCTATTTCTAGTGAACATTTTTGGTTTCTGTCAACTTCGTGCATTGTTGTCATCTTTGATGAACGTCCCATCATTGCCTTTTTCTTTCAAGAGACGATTTTTCTGAAATACCTGTTATACGAATGAAACGAATTTAAGAGAGACTGTAGCTGGGGTAGCTTCTGTGTGGTCCTCCTTATCTTAGTTGTTTTGGTATGATGATCTGTGATCAGGAATTAAAATGTCGTTCCATTGCTATGAGCTTCATTCTAATTCAAATGCATATTTACTGTAATCCGCTCCAAGAAGAGTGAATTGCTTGAAAAAACGAGTCCTATGTTTGAGTAATATCTCCTTTCAGGTAAAAATAAATGGATAGCCAATTATATTGCATACTCCAACATAATCCAGTATTCATGTTGAGCCTATCTTGAATGACAACTATTCCTCTAAATTTTCTTCTACAAATCAATAAAAATCTGATTAGTTTCCACAACTGAATAAATTTTTATTATTGAGCCTCAAAGTATATTCTAATCTATCCTTACTTTTCATTTCATTTCATTTCATTTTTTTTTTCCCAAAAAGGACATTCGTCTTTTTCATAACTTGTGATTGTAGGAATGTTTTGATTTTCTCAATTAACCGTAGATAATATGACCTTTCCCATGCTATGAGTTCAATTCAAAGACTTGTGTAGTTGAGATAGTATTGGGTGGGGGGAGGTGTGCACGCGCGCACACGTGTGTGTTTCTCTACGAAAAATATGAATCAGAATTTGAAGAAGGGAAATGAGCCCTTGACCCGTAACAGATAGAGAAGGATTTATTCAATTACATAGTTTGGACTCCTAGAATATGGCGCCCTTGGGCCTTCTATTTGATTGTGTGTGTGTGTGTGAGATTTAAATAAAAATCACTGGAATACATTATCTTGATCATTGGTTACAGGCCATGGGCCAATATAAATTAGATCGAACTGGAGATCCTGTCATCAGTGCTATTCGCACTAATTCCCATATCAGTAACAAAACGAGATTTGAAAATCATTTTTATTTTATTTTTTTCGTCTTTTTTAAATGTCTTTATCCTTGTGAATCCCGCATAAATTGCGAACACTATCCAACTTACTGTTTTTAGAGTTTGAAGAGTTCTAGTTTGAATCTAAAAAGGGAAAAAAAAAAGTACAATAACACCACCGGCTTCATCATCATCATCATCATCATTTACACACTACAGAAAGAAAATAAGTTGATGCAGATTGCAGTGGCAAAATCTAAAAGCGAGGGCATTATTTTTCAAGGCGATGAACATTCAGGAGGGAGGCCATGCGGGAATCGCTGGGTGTCAGTACAGTAATTGTAAATCATGAAGTTTTTCTGGACCCATTTGATCATGGCTTCCCCAGAGGCGTTGAGGGAATGCCGCAGCCATGAATATTGGTGGTGTGAAGAACAAGAGGAAGACGAAGAAGACGAAGTCCAAACACAAGCATGCCGATCATTGAAGTTTCTGTAAGAAGCAATGAACGGAGCTTCACTCCAATTCGTCTTCACTGCACCACCCCTCGTGGCCCACTGATCTGCGTCATAGATGCTCGAATATATCCTCATCGCTTGATTCTTTGGAAATGGAACCCCTCTTGCTTCCAAGTTCTTGAACGCTCTTATTGGTGTCCCATCCACGTAGAATCTGATACATCACAACAAAATCAATCAAAATTCGTATCGTCACACACAGACACACACACAGAGAGAGAGAGAGAGAGAGAGAGAGAGAGAGGTACATGACGTTGAGTGGATTCCAGAGAATGGAATAAGTGTGGAAATTCTTGGTGGGGTCGAACCACAAATAGATTTGCTGTTCTTTGTCGCCTTGGCCTTGTGTGTATATGTTTGTATGAAGAACATAGGGATCACCACTGAGGTTACCCAGAAATTCAAAGTCTATTTCGTCGTGAGCAAAACCCAGTGAAGATAACTGAAGGGAAAGAAAGAAGCTAAACGATGATGAAATTATGACAATATATATACATATACAGAGAGAGATCGATCAAGTAAACATGGACTTACATAGTAGGCAGTTACAGTACCAGCAGAATCACCAGGAACAAGCTTGATCTGAACGTCAATCTTTCCGAACAAATACTGGTTTTTGGATTGAAATCCAGACCCAGAATCTCTGTCGAGAGACAGCTTCAGAATCTGCTCATTATTATTATCCCCAACCATCCTCGCACGCCCATCACCCCATGTTATTTCTAGATCTCTATCCAAGTCTCCATCCCCAAACACTGCAACCAATAAGCTACAAATAGCAACAAAACCAATTATGATTATCTCATTTCTCATTTCAGAGCCATCCTTCTGCAGCCTCATCTCTTTCTTTACTTTGCTCTCAATTGGGTGATAATAACCAGCAATTCAATTGGGGGGGGGGGGGACACAAATTAAAAAGCCAAGAGATTTGCGGATATATAAGTAAATATTTAGTGAAGAGTAGTGATGACAGTGCATGCAAGTTTGAATAAGTAATATATAGGGAGGCGGTTGACTTGATTATGGTGGAAGGGCTAGGTTGAATAAGTAATGTATTGTCGAAATTGTTGGGTCTTAATTCATATCTTTCATTTTGCGCACTATAGTCTCTCCCATCTCTATATGTAAATATGAGTTTCATTCAAATATAACAGTCCACATTTTAGTGGTTATTGTTAGTAACCTTTACTTTATTTAGTTCATAATTAATTACTTGTCTCACCAATTATTAAATATACCTTTGAAATATTCTTACATGGATTGATATTATATTTAAAAAATACTAATAGGGTCGTTAATTTTATAATTTTATAACATAAAATATATAAAAATATCGCATGTTTTATTTTATATACACACAAACTCTCTCCGCTCCTTTATATATAAGAAGCTTTTTAACTAAAAGAAATTGATGATCCTATATATATGTTTGATGGAGCATTAATTAATTTTTTAAATATTATCCTTACTATATTTACTAGAAGAAGATTTGAAATTTTTATTTTTATTTTTATTTTTATATATTTAAATAAATGTAAATTTGGGAAAAAAAATTTTTATTTATAAACAAAATTAATAGTTCAACCACATTTTTAGAGTTTGTTTGAAATGACTTATAAATAATATATAAACAACCATTCAATTGTGATTTACAGAATAAAAAATAACTATATGAGAAAAATGTTATCTCGACTTACATAAATGTGCCTATTGATCGTTAATCCAACCAAGCCCTTACTTTCAATAAAGAAGTTAGAGATAACTTATGCTATCTCTAATTCTTCTTATAAGATTCAAAATGTTTTAAAAAAATCTATTAATATTAGTTAAAAGTGAATAAATATATATGAAATATATGAGAGGGTAGATGAGATTGGGAAAGAGAAAAGATGAGAAAAGATTAAAAAAAGGCATAGGAAAATGATAATACAATTAATTAGGGATAAAATTGATAAAAATGTATTTGATAACTAGACAACTCCAAATTAAATTTTATGAAAAGAATAAGATGAATTTAAAAATTGGCACCTTAATAAAAGGATGAGAGTACTCCTTTGGTTCTATTTGTGGGACAGAGAGAGAAGACATTTTTTTATCGTATTTATAGGGCACTAAGAAAAAAATTTTGTATAGATGTACAATTTCACTCTTCATTTATTATTGTGTTAACTTTATTTACATGAGATATAATGTATATTAACTAGAGATAAAGTGAAAAAGTTATTGAATTTTAAATGATAGTTAATGAAGTTTAAGGTTTTTCTTAGTTTGTGTGAAACATGTTGGAAGTGACTTATAAATAGGAACTGAAAAGTAAGTAACTAGAGAGGACATGTGTATGTAGCATGTATATGTAGTTGTTTATTATTGGCTAAGAGCTATTTGCTTTTATTTTGGCACTTTTATTGTCACCCATAAAATGAGCTTTCATTAGTATAATTTCAGCTAACCAAGCAACCAATCAAACGAAGCTTTAGTGCACACTAATAAATAAATCCCCAGCTGGAACACACACACAGACACACAGATTTCATCACAAATTTGGTGTTTTTTTTTTTTGGTAATAAGTACATGATATAAGGGGATATAATTTGCTCTCTCAAACTCAATATAAGTTTTTTGGCTTTGCAGAGTTTTGGAATATTGTACCAAAAGAGTGCTCAGATGTATGGATCACTTATTAAACTGGCAAAAAATTAAAGTTATATAAGGGAGATTAAAGCCAGAGGTAGCCAGCAATACATTAAAAAACGAAAGTAGTTGGGAGAGTTTATACATTAAGGGGTAATTAGGCAGATTTATTATTAGATTTAGTAGCTTATTATTGTCGGTTTCTTGCTAAAATAATGGAGCTTTCCTTCAAAGCTAGTTATATATGATGGATTCTAATCCTTATTACTTGTTATCATTTTATAATTAATATCAATGTGGTACTATAATTTATATCTTATTTTCTTAGGGAACAAACACACACATAAACAAATCTATATTTTATAATCTTTTGATTAAAAATATTAGAAATTGTAATATTTATTAAAAACTAAAAACTTCTCTAAAGTTTAGGTAGGAAATCCTTTTCTTAAAATTTGATTAAAAATTGCCTAAAACTTTACCATGATATTTAGATTATTGAAAGTAATAATCATACGCAATGTGTCTTCTTAGTAAAAAGTTTGTTTTATGTGTTGTTTTATTGATATCTCTAAATTCGTGAATCAATCTACAAATTGACCCACAAGGTACAATTCCAATAAGAAAACATATTCATTAGGTTGAGTAGGTTAATTACATTATTGGAATGTTGTAACCATTTAGGTTTCTCTGTGTACTGTGTTGTCCTTTGCGTTAAATTAGATGACTTCAATTGTATTTTTTTTGTTACCCAGAGTATCCTCCCACCCGAACGGTAAAAGACTAATCTCTCGAGATACTGTCAAGCGCCGTACCGGGAACTCCTCCCAACAGTATTTTTTTCATACACACCGCTTAAAAATTAAGCTCATACATGATATTTAAGGTGTCTAAGTTCCTTTCACTTGGACCAATACTTGTTGGTACTTCAATTGTATTTTTGTTTTTATATATTTATCGTTTTCCTCTGTGGTTGTTAATATGTTTTTATTACCCAAGAAGCCATGCTCCTAAAGACATAGTCCGTCCAAATCATTTCGGGCCTCTATACAAGTAAGGCCCAAAGTTTGGGCCTTCCAAATTACTTTGTGGGAACACTTTAGTTCATTTTGTTTTTATTTTTCTTTTATTAGAAGCTTTTTTTATATGCATTAAAATAACATTATCTCGCAAGCTCGCAAGCTTCACCTGCAACATTTGGATGATGACTTAGACTTAAACCTAACATTAACATATTTGTGTGTATTAAATTGTGTAAAATAAAAAATAACTTTATCTCTCCAGTTTTTTTTTTTGGTGGAAGAAACACATGTTGTGGTCAATTTACTAAATCTTGAAAAAATGCGCGTAATTTACCTAGGACACAATAAAAATTTTTTTATATGTAATGTAAAAGGCAAAAATTTATAAAGATAACGATGAAGTGGAAATATTCAAACCCTCTCTATCTATATGGGAAAAAATCTAATGAAATTAGAGAGGAATGAAAAGTAATAAAGATAAATATAAGGATTCAATACAGTTGAATGTAAATTCACATAGCAGTATTTTTTCGGAAAAAAATTGCGTAACTTTTTTAATGTACACAAATCAATTACCTAATTACTATATTTATTACTCCTCTGATTCTATTTATAAGGCAGAGAGAGAAGATTTTTTTTGTCTTATTTATCGAGTATTGAGAGAAATTTTTTGCATGATTGTACAATTTTCCCTTCATTTATTATTTTCTTGACTTTGTTTACATACAGTATAATGTATATTAAATAGGGATAAAGTTGAAAAGTTGTTGAATTTTAAATGAGAATTAATGAAATTTAAGATTTTTTAAAAAAATTTCTTGGTCTGTGTGAAAATATTGGAAGAAACTTATAAATAGGATAAGAGGAGTAAAAGATAGATGAAGTATATTAAAAAAAAAAAGATTCCGTTGCCTAAAATAATATTATGGAAATTGCATTGGAAGGAGAACCAAAGAAGGCAAAGAGAAATTTATGTTTGGATGTTTGTATTTGTCATTGTACTATAATTGCATAATCCAAACAATGCATTGTTTCGATCACTTCTATAACACAGCCTTAGAATGCCCCTCCCACCTTGCTCACGTCTCTCAGCATCTCTGGCAATCTCGATTTTTCAACAATGACAATGGGTTACCTAATAAATTAATATCAACATAAAGAGGATATGGTTTCCGTTCATAATATTCTTCAAGTTACATGACGATCCATATGGCTGAATCGCCAAGCTTGTCTTCCTCCTTCACGCTACCTCGCCGAACACTCCACGGTTCACTTCTCTGCTAATTTCTTTAGTCTGTTTTTATCAGTCTATCTCTCTGCTTTCTTCTGTAACACATATATAGTGAGCAAATGCAGTTTCTTTTATCTTGTGCGTCATTTTCTGGAGATTTAGCATCATAATTTTCTCAAGTTGGTGATCAAGTTTGGTCCAAGTTAGATTGACCAAAATGAGAATTGGAGGGTCTTAGCTTTATCAGACATCACCTTTCATGAATTGTTGCATGAACTTGCATCATTTTTTTGCCTCATTAAAAATGAGTCATGAACCAGAGGATTAATGGTCAGTTTTGTGACTGCAGTGGAACCTCCTTCACATTCTCAAGTTATTCAGGTTTCCATGGCCCAGCTCAGTGGCTTCGGAGGATTTAAGTTTTTTGTGGTAGTCCTAGTAGTACTCATAATACTGCTGATCCTTGTGTTTCTGTGTCGGAAGCGTATCAAACCGGCATTGCAGGCAAAGCCAAAACCTCCGATGAGTATAATTTATATGAAAATCTCAGAATTAAAATAAAATCTTTTATGAGTTCACTTGTTTTATGGAAGGATAGTTTTGTTAATCATGCTGCTCTTGTTTGCACGGGCAGAGGTAATGAAGATAATAGCTTCTTCAAAGAAGCAGCAAGGTAACTTGAAACAAAACATCATACTACCTTGTACATTAAAACAATAAAACCTTACATAACCTCAAATGTTGTGGTTTCCATGTATGTACACAGGATCAGCAGACTTCTTTAGTGGCAGCGTTCAGGAAATGAGTTATTTTGACTATCAGACCCTGAAGAAGGCAACAATGAATTTTCATCCTGATAATCTTCTTGGAAGTGGTGGATATGGTCCTGTCTTTAGGGTATAACTTATACTGAATCTAATGGAGTTCCCTTGGCATGTTGCATCAATACGATATGC